AAAAAAAAAAAAAAAAAGAATACAAGATATGACTGGTCCGGTGGGTGACTCACACCTGAGATCCTAGCAATCTGGGGGCCTGAGGCAGGTGGATTGCTTGAGCTCAAGAGTTGGAGACCAGCCTGTGCAAGACCAAGACCTCATTGCTACTAAAAATAGAAGAAGTAGCAGGGTGTTACGGCTACCCAGGCACCACAATAATACCAGCTATTCAGGAGGCTTGTGCCTAAGAGTTTTGAGGTTGCTGTGAGCTATGTGACCACTACCCTTTACTCAGAGCAACAGTGAGACTCTGACTCAAAAAAAAAAAAAAAAGATACTAAATATGAAATAAGGGCTATTATTCTATTATTCCCACTATGCAGATAGAGAATCTGAACTCAACAAGGTTAAATGACATGCTCAAAGACCACAGCTAGTAAAAATTGGGGTTCCAGCCTATGCCTGGCTTATTCCAAAGCCGTCCTTCCACCTTTGAGATTGACATTTCAGGATGGCCAACCCGTCCAGAATTGCTGCTGAGGGAAGCCACTTAGCTTACCTCTGGAGCACATGTAAGCTGCTGCTGTTACATGAACCACATTTCACCAAGTTTTTCTTTTGGACTCGCCCACTCTAGGGGTTGGTTGTAAACTTTGAGACCCCTCTTTGTTTTTTAATAACATCGTAAACCAGGCACACAATCAACAGCTTGAATTTGGGGAGGGGGGAGGGAGGCTAGTAGAATTCTTTCCAACCTTTAAAAGAAAAACAGTCCATTTGGCAACTGTAGTTAGTTTCTTAAAGGTGGACTAAGGATCTTTGTGTTCAAAAACTGAAAAACGAAAGGTCTAATTTTCCTATTTGCTCCAAATTGACAGTTGTGGGATTGAGTTCTCCAGAAAGAATGGCTGTCCCTGAAAAAGGCGTTTGCCATGGAAGGCAACTAATTGCATAGGATCTTGCACTGAGGTTTGAACAGGTGTTTTCAACAGTTGGAGGATTAGTGAATTGAAGGCTTTAAGGGAACTGACTCTACCCAGGAGCGTGCTGAGATAAGGGCAGCACTGGGGCAGGAGTATCTTGTGATTTTTACTCTCTCCCCACGGGGCTGTTCCTGGCTTGCTCAGTGCGCTGCTTCCAGGCACAGTGCTGGGGAAAGGGACACTCTTCAGAGAATCTCCGAGCTGCGTGAAGTAGATAAATCATTGGTTTCGCCAACCCTCATTCTCCTCACCTGTGAAATGGGAGTGGTGTTTGGATTCCCCAAGAGGATTGCTGTAAGACTCAAACGTGTGCACCAGGGTGCCTGGAAATGCACTTTGCAGCAGGAGGCCAGCTGGAATGTGCAGCTGCTTTTACTAAGGGAGTGCTCCTGCCTCTGGTCCAACTCTAGGATGGGCAAAGAAAATGCTCAAGTCGCTGCTTGGGGATCCACGAGTCTCTTCCCATCCTCTGTCCCCAAGCAAACCTTCAGGTCAGTGCCACTTCTCCTCCTGCTCCCCAAGCCCGGTCTCTTTCTCTTCAAGGGATGCCAGCATTTTAAAGGAAAATCTGCTTTGGGGAGCTCAGTTGTGTCTTGGTCCTTTCCTCATGTCATGCTGGTGTTTTAATGACAGTGCTTCCTGCCCTCCCAGGTTTCTTTGACACAGGCATGTGCCATGGCCTCATCTACAGGGCATCTGACAGCATTGCTTCCCCTTTCTGTGCCATGTCAGCAAAGCAAGTTTTTAGACAGTGTTTTCCTATAGGTCAGAGAAACGCCGGCCAAGAAATTAAGGCAGTAATTGTTATCTTTGGGTCAGGTGCTGCCTGGTGCCAGGGAAACGCGTGATCTGTGTTGATACGTTTCACCATTGAAGAAACCCCAAGAATACCAGGCTAGCTGTTTTTGTGGTTTTCGGTTGAGCCCGGGGTTTCCTTCCTATCTGAACCTCTCTGCTGTGGAACAGGTAGCAAGTTAATTCACCGCATTGAACCTCAGTAAACTCCTCTGTGAAGTGGAGACAATGTGTCTACTTTTTAAGGTTTTGAGAATTAAATGAGCTAATGTGTATAAAGTAACTCAGCACCTGGCACATACAGAATGCTCAGTGGATGTTAACTATATTTATTTTTCTAATTTTTATCATTTTCTTTTTTCTGTCACCCTGGGCAGAATATGATGGCATCACAGCTCACAGCAACCTCAAACTCTTGGGCTCAAGAGATCCTCCTACCTCAGCCTCCTGAATAGCTGGGACTACAGGTGCCCACCACCATGCCTGGCTAGTCTTTTCTGTTTTCAGTAGAGACAGGGTCTCACTGGTGCTCAGGCTGGCCCTGAAATTGTGAGTTCAAGCAATCCACCTATCTTGGGCCCCTAGAGTGCTAGGATTACAGGTGTGAGCACCATGCCCGGCCACTATTTTTTATTACAAGTGAGTAAACACTGTGGTGAAGACCTCGCCAGATGATCTGGCAAAAATAGTCAAGAAAGGACCTCCAGGCTTAGGCTACTCATCTCTTCCCTGGTAGTTACTTATTAGAACCCAAGTCTCTTGACTCTCACTCCTCTTTTCAATAGGACTGTTACCTCCTGATCCAACTGCCCTTGAACTTCAGCTAGAGACAGGTGTGAAACATGGGCCCCTAACGAGGCCCACCAGCCTGCTAACCTGCCATAGCTTCCAAGAGTACTCACAGGACAAAGTAACAGCAAAGGGAACAATTTGCTTTGTTTTCCTCAGTTCTGGAAATGCTGGACAGTTTAAACAACACAACAACAACAAAATATTTCCCACTTTCCTGTCCTGACTGGCTGTAAGAGCCTGGCTGGCTCCATCCGGGATGTGCTTGTGGTGGGAGCCCACGAGTGACAGTTGTGCAGGGTGGAGGGGCACAGAGCTGCAGACAGAATCTTCCTGCCGTGTGCTGTCCTGGGCCTTCTCCTGCTGAGTGTCAGGTTTGTTTAAAAGAGCAGGAGCAGCCTTGGCTGGTGTGACGTCCTGGCTGCCGTTTGCACGGCCCCCACAGCAAAGGAATGGGATGGCAGCAGAGAAGACCAGTGTGGTTGAGAAATGCAGATCCTCAGAAGTTATGGAGAAAGCAGACACCTTTCCATGGCAAGAGATATGGAAAAACCTAGTCATTTTGACCTCTTTTTCAGATGTATCTCAGATTCTGGAATTATAGCATAATAGGAATTCCTTCCAAATCCTCAAAGCAATGGTTCCTGCCCCTGCCTTGCAAAGGCTTAATGAGTGTAGCAGCAATGAGATTAGGAGCAAACAGTAAAATGTCATCTCCTGTCTCACCTCCTCTCAGTCTTGCCTTGCATACACTGTGAAGAGGACTATGGGCAAAGATTTTAATAGGGGAAAAATGCTCAGTATTCTTTTTATTTATTTATTTATTT